ATATATATGTTTAGTTACATATTTATATCATTTTAATTTGTAAAAGAATATAATTATATTCTTTCTAGGTGTTTGTTATGATTCTTTGGTACAATTTTACTTTTGCATATTTAAATAATTGTATTAGGTCCTAACGCAATGATTATTCATCAAATATAACTAATTAATCAATCAATTTATCAAAACATTAAAATTTATGTAAAATAAATATGTAAAATAAAAATGTATATATCAATATATATATATATATATATATATATATATACTTTTAAATTACTTTTTTAGATATACTTTTAAATTTTATTTACTAAATTGATTATTTTTTAATAAATATACGTTGCAGATTATTTGGAACTCCCCTCTGAACTTTGCTCTTGAAATGTATGGCAAGGAGGAGCCAATAGAAAATAGTATAGATTTTGCACCTTTATTTACTTTCCTGTATGTACCAAAAAAGATATACATTACGGATAATTTCTTGTTCCAAATGTTTTTTTAAATTGTCTTTTCTTAAATTTTTAAAAGAAAAATTATATAGTGGACTTGATCAGTTTGTTTTTTCAGTTAACTAGATTAAATTTTTGTGTGTGTACTAATTATCTTGCAAGCATGTCTAGCTAAATTGTATGATGAAGCAATAGTTTTGGTGTGAACAACAGGGAATTTTATTATTGCCAACAAGGTTAAAATGTGTTTAAAAAATAATTTCAAGTATACATGATGATACATCTTTAGAAGTTAAGAGAAAAGTTCAGCTTGGTGATATTTCTTTAGTTAGAAAATTTGTAGAAATTTTCTTAAGAATATGTCTAATCCATCACCTAAAATAGAGGTTAAGTTTTTTATAGATGATTAGGAAGGGTCAAACATATGTATGTGAGATGTTAGATGTAAGAGTAGTTTCTAAGAGTATAAGAGTAGGTTTATTATCATACTTGTTTTAGTTTTAGCCAATTCCAGTGAATCCTTTATAGTTGATTTGTGATGTTTTTAAGACGAGTTTAGAAGGTACTTATGTAGAAGGTAAAGTAGTCACCTATGTATTTAGAAAGCTTAAGGATCATGAGAGGATTACTCTATCAAAAAAAGATGAAAATATAGTTAACATGAAGCAAAAGAGATGATTAGAGTTTCTTAAGAACTATGAGTAGGAAATCTTAAATGTGCCTTTTTGATGGTTAATTAATGAGTCAAATCTTTTAGAACTAGTTTAGAAACCATTGTTTAGCTTATTATTAATCCTTAAGAATCTTAAATTGGACATATTGAAAATAACTGATAGTTCTATAGGTGAGATTAGAGAAAACCAAAAAAAAAATCCTATTTTGATAACCTTAGTAGAGAATTTGAAACAAGTCAAGGAAAGTGGTCTTAAGGCAAGTATAGATGGAGTATTAGGATTCCAAGATTATGCCTAGTACCCTTAATCTTAACAAGATAATCTTAGATAAGGGACATACAAGTAATCTAAGTAACCATCCAATAACTATTAAGATGTACCAATATTTTAGGAAAATGGTTGGAATGGAGAGGGATATAGTTAAGTTACATATCTACATAGTGTGTCAAAAGTCCAAGGTAGAATACCAAAAGTTTTCAATAAAGTTGCATCCTTTAGACATACTAAGTAGGAGTGAGATTATACAAGATGCTCTCTAGCATAGTTTTCAATAAAAACCCTAGGTTTACCTTTATTTTTGGTAGAGTTTCACAAAAATTTTAAACCAAACTTTGGTCATGCTCATCTTATCAACCTTCAGCAAATAGTCAATATGATTGAATTATTCGATCCTTAGAGAAACACCTTAGAGATTTTGCTCAAGAACAAGATGTAGTTGGGATGACATATCATAGAGTTTGCATAAAATGAGGTATAGGACACCCTTGAGTTGGTTAAAACCTTGTGGGAACCATATCTTAGGACCTAATGTGGTGAAATAGACAACTTAAAAGGATTAAGATGATTCGAGAATGGATGAGGAAGATAAAGTATTCTTGAAAGTAACTACTTGAATCAGGATTGATTAACATTAAGATCATGCAAGCTTCTTTGCATTTCTTTGCTTATTACCAAATTTTAATATGAGTTGGTAAGTCGCTAATTAAATAACTTTATTTCCTTTCTTTCAGACCTTTACAGTGTCTTCCATATTATACAACTCAATTATATATACTCATGACACATTTCATATCCTTTTATCTATAATAGCCAATTAAAATAAAACCATATTTCCAAGAGATTACCTTGAGAGTTAAATTAAAAAGGGAAACAACTTAGAGGGAATAAAATTCCTTTGGTTAAGTTTGTATGGAGATAAGCCACTATGTAAAATGCTACTTAGGAGTTTAGGGCTTAGGGTAGAGCAAAACAAATGAGTCTTACCTAGAGCTTTTCATTATAGACAAAATTTGGGAACGAAATTTCTTTTTAGATGGAAAAATTGTAACATTATGCTTTTCATAAATAAAATTATATATATAATTGTTTAATATATATTTTATTTTATTTACTTAACTAATTTGGTCAATTAGGCTTTTAAAATAAATAAATATTGTTATTATGATAAGAAAAATAAGATAGTTTGTAGAGTTAATATGCGTTGATAGGTAAAGTTGGGTTTGAGATTTAAAAAGTTGGGTTTGAGATTTAAGAAGCCCAACCCAATGGTTAATCTATAATAAGCTAAGGGTTAGAGAGTGTTATGTATCAATTACTCTTTTTTACACTTTTGACTTCTAAGACTTAAGAGAGAGCTTATAGAGAAGAGTTTATCAAAAAACCTTAAGGTAAAACCACACCCACCACATCAAAGATTGACATTTGAGGTAAAAGGGTTAGTGAGATTGTCTCACATGTGGGAGGAAACTTATAAAAATTGTAGGTTGTGAGATAATTCCTAAGCCTCTATAAGTTTTTGTGTGCTTTCTTGAAAGGGTTATGAGTACCCGTACATTTATAATTTGATATTGTTCTTGATTTCATTGATTGAAATAATTGATTTGTTATGTGATTGAATTCCCTAGCTATGCAATTGAACCTTGAAAGGTTTGGTTTCAAATTCTATTAACAAAATTAGTTTCCATTTGATTTCTTGAAGAGATTACGAGTACCCATATATTTTTAATTTGATATTGTTCATGATTGAATTAATTGCAACAATTGATTTGTTATGTGATTGAATTCCCAAGCTATGCAAATTGAACCTTGAAGGGTTTTCTTTGAATTCTATTGACATAATTGGTTTCCATGTGATTTCCTAAAAGGGCTATGAGTACCCATACATTTGTAATTTGATATTGTAATGATTGAAGTGATTGAAATAATTGATTTGTAGCGTGATTAAATCCCTGAGCTATGAAATTGAACCTTAAAAGGTTTGGTTTCAATTTCTATTTGATGGAATTGGGGGTAAATGTGAGAAACCTCAAGGATCCTAAAATCTAATAGAATGAATTGGTAATCATATTAATTGAATAATTGAATTAAGGATAAGTAAGAACCTTTAGATCAAGATTCAATTTGTATATGAGTGGTATTTGAGCAATTAGGGGAAATAAGAAGCAATATGTAGCCCCAAATTTGTAAACATCGCATTTCTGTGCAAGTGCAAGTGTAGACTTTGCAATCATGCTAGGTGTGAGAATTCTTGATTTTGAACTCTGGCGCTGATGTGTTTTTCATCTAGTATATATTTAGAAACCATTTTACTTTGATATGTTTTTACGTAAATGTTTGTTTTGTTCTTTATTTTTGTTCTCCTTGTTGCATCTCTTTTTTTTTTGTCGAACCTGTTACCTAGGGAGATTTTATGAAAATGGGTGTCAAAAGTAATTAGGTTTGGATTCAAAAGGGAAATTCTATACTTATATGGATCTTCGGAGCATGGTTGATCATCATGCACCCACAAAGGAGCGAGAAAAAAAACCAACTCATTACACAACATATTATAAAGTCACAACATATTATAAATGTGAATAAATCATTCATTACATAATTTAACATCTAAAGTTTAAGTTTCAATTAAAAGAAACTAGTTAACATATAATCAATAATACTATTTTCTACATCAATAAATTCTTCTTTTTGCATTACTCCCCTTATAATAGTTGAATCACCACCTATTCACCTGCAATTTGAACACAAATATAGTTTTAATTTAACATATTTTTTCTTAAGCAAATAATCAAAAAAAAATTTAAAGGACAAAACACCTTTTTATAGTGTGTTAATGTTGTTGGCATTAGAGAGTATTTTTTCCAACGATATTTAATGCGCTGATATTTAAAAATATCTTTTCGCAATAATTGTAGGCATTGTTGGCATAAAAAATGCATTTCCCAGCAACATCGAATGTGTTTCATTTAAAAACAACTTTTCGCAATGATTGTATGAATTGTTGTATAAAAAAGCAAATTTCCCAGCGACATCAAATGCGTTATATTTAAAAACATCTTTTTGCAATGATTGTAGACGTTGATGGCATAAAACAACAAATTTCCCAGCGACATCAAATGTGTTACATTTAAAACCATCTTTTCGCAATGATTGCAGACGTTGATGGCATAAAAGAACAAATTTCCCAGCGATACATAGTTTTTGCAACGATATTGTTCTAATTGACAAAAATAAAGTCTTATTGTAACAACATTTAAATATTGTTGGCAAATATTTATTTTTTACCAACAACTCATTTATCGCTGTAAAAAACTCGCTGCAATTAATATTATTTCTAGTAAATTACAAGAACTAAAATGACAAAATTTTAAATTTGAGAGACTAAATTAATATTTTTTATATATATTTTGAGGACTAAAAACATATGTTTTTAGGTTTGAGGGACCAAAAGAATTTATACATGGGCTAAAAAAAATATTTTTTGAAATTACAAGACTAAAAACATAAATTTTGAACTTGGGGACCAAAAAATAATTACCCTAAATTTAGAAGACTAAAAATTAATAAAGCCTTAATAATTACACACACATATATATACTAAACAACAATATCAGCTGCAACAACAATTGCCGCAGAGGCAGCTCCTGCAGCAGCAGCAGCAACTACACTATCCAGCAAAGCCACAACTATCTGCACAATTTCAAACACATCAAATGCCTCAGCTTCACAAAATGAATGATATAAATGATATCAAAATGCAACCAGGAATGGGTGTTAAGCCAGGAGTCTTTCAGCAACATCTTACATCAGGTCAACACTCAGCATATTCCCATCAACAGCTGAAACAAGGGAGTGCATTTCCAGTTTCTTCACCACTACTACTTCAGGTTACATCTCCTCGGGTTCAGCAGCACTCATCCCCCCAGTTTGAACAGCAAAATCATCTGCCATTTAAAACAAAACTTGGAACTCCTCTGCAATATTCTAATTCACCCTTTGTGGGACCTACCCCTTCACCCCCTTTGTCTCCATCTCCTATGCCAGGAGAATTTGAGAAGTCCATTCCTTGTGTTTCATCAATATCAAATGCTCCAAATATTGGACATCAACAAACAAGGGTTGCAGTAGCGCCAGCTCAATCACTTGCCATTGGGATTCTTGGGATATCAGCCTCTCCTTTATTGACAGAATTCAGTGATCCAGATGGTGTGCACGGTAATGCTTTAGCCGCCACTTCTGGGAAGTCAACTGTTACAGTGCAGCCTGTTGAACACTTAATTAATGTGGTTAGTATAAAAGCTTATCTGATGCTAGCTTGATCGATTGTGTGCCTAAATTTTGACTGGATTTGATAAATTAAAGAATGAAAAGGTTCCTTTAATTATTTTATTGCTATATTCCTGGAATTATACATGATAAATTTATGTCTAAATCATGATTCTAGGCAAAATCAATGTCTCCTAGGACAGATCACTGTCGAAAGACTTATACAAAATCATTCATATTCCTCTCACTCTTCGTGATCATGACAATGTAAGTCATCTTTTCCTTCCCATTACATGTTTGAATCCATGCATGTTTGTGCTGACTTCTACATTGCAGAATTGGAGGGACTTTTCTTTATAATGGAATAGAGAAATTCCAAGCTACTGCAAGGGATGTATCAGATGTTCTGGTGTCAAGAGCAAATACAGTAGCTGATGTTATTCATAAGGTATTGGTCGATCTTGAAGCGGCTAAGAACGTTAAAGGGTGCATAAACAGTAAGTTTATTACTTCATTCTGAACCTTTACAAGTTTTTTGTTTTAGCATCATGCAAGGCTTAGAAAATATGTGGTGTATTGCTTTATACTCATTAAAACTTTCGGTGCATTGTTGATTCACCTCATATATCAAATTTTTTGCATAAGCTATATTTGGGTTGTTAGAAAAAGAGTAAATAGTACAAGTAGTGTCGACATAAAGAATTTTAGCGTCATCTTTTGATCACAATGTGTCATGTATAATAAGTTTGTTGGTGTACTTTTATAATATATATATATATATATATATATATATATATATATATCGTGGATGTTGAATTCAGTTTTGAAGTATTATAATGGAATAATGATGATATAAAAATTATTAATTACTCTAAAATAGACACTAAATGAAGATATTTTCTTCATATATTGTTAGATCTATATAATGTTTTATTTATTAATAAGTAATAAATATATGTAAAATTTTAGTACCTATTTAAGGTATATAAATATATATATCACATACGTTAAAAAAAGTTGTTGGGTTAGTGGTTAAGTATTATACTTAGAGTTACATATCAATTTTTTATATTTTACAATAGCACAATTGTAAAAAAAAAAAATCCTAGCAACTATCAATGTTATTGACATAAGATACTTTTTCCAGTGACAACAAATTGGTTGATATGACAAAACACCTTTTTATAGTGTGTTAATGTTGTTGGCATTAGAGAGTATTTTTTCCAACGATATTTAATGCGCTGATATTTAAAAATATCTTTTCGCAATAATTGTAGGCATTGTTGGCATAAAAAATGCATTTCCCAGCAACATCGAATGTGTTTCATTTAAAAACAACTTTTCGCAATGATTGTATGAATTGTTGTATAAAAATTACTCTTGTCCTTAGCTGCTTCTCACCATTGGCATTTAGCCCAATTAGATGTCAATAATGCTTTTTTAAATGGTAACCTTAAGGAAGAAATATTTATGCAAATTCCTCAAGGCTATACCCATAATATTGTAAGTACCACACCGACTCCTCTTGTTTGTAAACTCAATAAGTCTATATATGGCCTTAAACAGGCTTCAAGGAGCTAGTTTACCAAATTCAGCACTACTTTATTATCTCATGGTTACAAACAATCAAAATTTGATTATTCCTTATTCACCAAAGGCACAATAAAGGATAAAGGTATCATCATAATTTACGTGATTCTACTATAATATAGTCATGACAAAAACATTTATGCAAACATCCAAAACTCATCAAGTAACACCAACCATATTCTCACACCAAACACATCCATATGGCATATTAAGTTGTGGTTTTCATTCTTTGAAATAAAATTGTATCATATTTTCGTCACTATGATCATCCCATCAAACATTATCCTCTAAGACTATCTTTAGATATTCAAAATGTTTTATTTAATTAACATGTCCCTGAATAGGTAATTGAGTTTAATATAATAAGTTTGTTGGTGTACTTTTATAATATATATATATATATATATATATATATATATATATATCGTGGATGTTGAATTCAGTTTTGAAGTATTATAATGGAATAATGATGATATAAAAATTATTAATTACTCTAAAATAGACACTAAATGAAGATATTTTCTTCATATATTGTTAGATCTATATAATGTTTTATTTATTAATAAGTAATAAATATATGTAAAATTTTAGTACCTATTTAAGGTATATAAATATATATATCACATACGTTAAAAAAAGTTGTTGGGTTAGTGGTTAAGTATTATACTTAGAGTTACATATCAATTTTTTATATTTTACAATAGCACAATTGTAAAAAAAAAAAATCCTAGCAACTATCAATGTTATTGACATAAGATACTTTTTCCAGTGACAACAAATTGGTTGATATGACAAAACACCTTTTTATAGTGTGTTAATGTTGTTGGCATTAGAGAGTATTTTTTCCAACGATATTTAATGCGCTGATATTTAAAAATATCTTTTCGCAATAATTGTAGGCATTGTTGGCATAAAAAATGCATTTCCCAGCAACATCGAATGTGTTTCATTTAAAAACAACTTTTCGCAATGATTGTATGAATTGTTGTATAAAAAAGCAAATTTCCCAGCGACATCAAATGCGTTATATTTAAAAACATCTTTTTGCAATGATTGTAGACGTTGATGGCATAAAACAACAAATTTCCCAGCGACATCAAATGTGTTACATTTAAAACCATCTTTTCGCAATGATTGCAGACGTTGATGGCATAAAAGAACAAATTTCCCAGCGATACATAGTTTTTGCAACGATATTGTTCTAATTGACAAAAATAAAGTCTTATTGTAACAACATTTAAATATTGTTGGCAAATATTTATTTTTTACCAACAACTCATTTATCGCTGTAAAAAACTCGCTGCAATTAATATTATTTCTAGTAAATTACAAGAACTAAAATGACAAAATTTTAAATTTGAGAGACTAAATTAATATTTTTTATATATATTTTGAGGACTAAAAACATATGTTTTTAGGTTTGAGGGACCAAAAGAATTTATACATGGGCTAAAAAAAATATTTTTTGAAATTACAAGACTAAAAACATAAATTTTGAACTTGGGGACCAAAAAATAATTACCCTAAATTTAGAAGACTAAAAATTAATAAAGCCTTAATAATTACACACACATATATATACTCTTGAACAAGGTTTATCCCAAAATTGACAACAAGGACTAATCTATACTCATGGAGCTTAGCTTTTGCTAGCCAAACATTACTTTCATTTTTGTAATTTCCAAGCATTATTTTAACACTTATATATATATATATATATATATATATATATTATCTCTGTTAATATTTGTTGATTTTTTTAACATTATTAATATAAAATAGACTTTTAAATAAGTTAATAGATCATATTAAACTTTAAAAAAAACCAGATTAGGCCTATAAAAAATATGTAATAAGATCAAACATAGGTTTTAATTTTATATAATAGGTCAATCCTATATATTTGAAGCATAACTTGACCTAGCATATTCTCATCCCTATTGATGAGATAGGAAAAATTTAAGTTTAAAGTTGACTTTTTGGTTATCTTATTTTTAAATCTTTATGTTTTGTTTTCTTAAATATTCATGTTATTATGTTTTATTATATTTTGGATTTTTAACATTTATTCAGCCTTTAGAGTGGTAAAATCTCATTAAATGTTTTTCCCCTTTTTTGTATTTATTCTTAGAATTTCATATTAGTTTTAATTGAGATGTAATTTCTTTTATCCACTTTGAGAAAATTATTTTGAAAACTCTATACTAGTCTCAAACACATATTTGAATTACACTTTGCATTGACATTCGTATAAATTGGTTAAACCTAATTACGTTTGACAATAAAAAATAACAACTCTTATTAAATTGTTAAGTCAAGTCACCACTCATACTCCATAAGATTATCAAAGGCTGAATTTTTTATGTTTGACGAAAAAATGATGAAAGAGTGGTTGTATAAATATGATCAATTTTTCTTGTTGGAAAGTACCCTTGTAGAATCTAGAGTTTGCTTAGCCTTCATCCATTTAGATGGGATTGCCCTTCAATGGCATTTGAATTACATGAGGAACAAGTTTGATATATACCCACCATGCCAGCAATATGTAGCATATGTAACCCTACGATTTTGAGAGACCTATGATGACCCACTTTCTTCATTAATTCAAGTGAAACAAATGGGTATGGTTCAAGATTATGTTGATGAATTTGAGTGGGCTCTAACTTTGGTATCTTTATTATCTGAAACTCTCTAAGTATTTTCTTAACTAGTTTAGAACATAGCCCACAAATGCATATGCGCATGTTCAATCCCAATTCAATTCCCATAATGCTAATCTTGCCAAATTGTACAAGGTTTCTAGTGTTTCTATGAGCAAGGTCAACAATCGAATTGGTTACTTTTTTTTAGACCTATAAATTTGAATCCTAATTAATCTTCTTTCGCCAATACTTATGCCACACTAAACTAGAACCAAAGTCTAGTGTTTACCAAGATTCCTAGAACCTTTAGTGCTACAAAAATGGCTGAAAGAAGGGATAAAGGGCTTTGTATGTTTTATGATAAGTTATTAACACCAGGACACCAACTAAAATACAAAAGATCACAACTCTTGGTAATGGACTTGAATAAGGAGGATCAAGATGTTGATAATAAGGAGAAAAAAAAAACATTATAAGAGGGGTTTAATAATGTAAATGAAAAACTCAAAGTTTTTTTTGAAATAGTAAAGTAGTATCAAAATCTTAAGAGTGCAGACAAGGAGTTAAGGCCAAGGAACACACAATATTTTCATATTGATTTGTCTCAACCACTAAGATTGTGTCTAATTCTTGATCAAGTTCTACTATCTTTTATAAAGATAGAAATATTCTTTCACAAGCCACTTCTGCATCAACCTAAGTATTTTTTTGCAACAAAGTCTCTTTAGGCTTCAAGCAATAACACAAAGTTAAAGCTGAGAAATCACTTGTTTCGTCTTATTTTCAAGACGTGATACAACTAAATTACATATAGAGTTTTTATAGAAAGAATGAATGAGGTTTTATAATTGTTGTTCTCTCTTTTTTCCACACTTTCAAGCTCCTTTGTATAGGGGTTTCATGAAGATGTCTATTATGAATCCTTGAGCATCTCTCATAGGGTTGATTCATTTATCTTCGTCTTCCTTTCTTGTAGAAAGAAATGTCTGCTAGTGCATAAAATGTATTTTACCAAATTGTCACTTCTTATTTGATCAAGGAAGATACTTATCACCTTTAAGGTATTAAACAAAAGAAATTATTACATGTATTAGTCATAAATGACTTTTTCTAAGACTTCACATATATATATAGAAGGATTTTCTTGTCTTTTCTCTAACAAAAAGCATGTCTCCATTCCTTTTTGAAGTGCAAGTACCAAAGAAATTTTATTCTTTTCGATCTGTTAAGGAATATCATAGACAAAGATGATTAAGTTATCAAACATCATAAACAATATATATTAAATGCACTTGTCTTACAAAAGCAAAGTGGTTTATCTAAAAGACTACACGTCATTATAACTTATCGTTTATTTTAATGTCTTATAGTATGATCTAAAAAACATTTATTTGATAAAAATGTCTAAGTTTATAGGCATTAAAACCAATATCCTAAGGGATCCAAGATCATTTTTTGATTTAACAATATCCCTTTGTTTGATTATGACAAACATGTTTTTAAAAAAGAAAGT